ATCTGCCTACTATACCTTAAAAACTTATTAATTAAATTTTACATAGTGCAAAGAAAATGTTCATAAAAAATAAATTGTCCTACATTATTATTTCATTTGTACCGCATACAACAATTTGTTCCTTCTGAACTAAAATTGAACATCTTCTATTATTAATCTAATCGTTTTCATTACATATTAATTTATTCATTCTTTATTTCTCAAAAAAAAATAACGACAGACTACTTCCTATTTAGACTAAACCTCCCTACAATAAAAGACTCAGGGCCTTCTATTATATTTAAGCGGAAAACTTTTTTACGGGGTATTATATTACGACTCTCATATTTTTTGCGAAACTTACGAGTATTTTTGAAGAATTTAGTAAATACAACTTTAAGTTCAGACTTTACACCTCCTCAGTTCTTATCATAGTAAGTAGATGCTTGGAAAAACATCACTATATCTTCCCACATCAACAAATAATAGGCACTAATTAATATCAGTACCTATATTATTTTCAAATTCTATAATTTCTAGTTTCCGTTGTAAATATTATGTTTTTAACCTTTGTATAGATCACATATATTTCTAAAGAAACTAATACTGACTATAAGATTGAGTCAACGTTTTTCAGCTTGTTTGCTCTTCCCTATTACACGTTGTAACAGTCACTTATATTTAAAAGGTTGTGCAAATTTTTAGAATCTTTTGCTTCTAAATACTTCAAATATGTTTATGAGTACTTGCAAAAAGCTACCATCATTTTTTTTGCGCAGATAAAAACTTATACGATTCATGTCAAATATAATCTTTTGTGATTTTTCATAACAGTACTGTAAGTTACATAGAACTATGATCAAATTACTTTCTAACTTTTAGAAATATTTATTTTCTGTCTTACTCAGTATATTAGTATGCATACAAAATTGTTAGCATCTGACTAAGATACAAGCAATGTCTATACTAAGCTTATTTAATCATTAAATTAGACCTTGCATTGAATAATACGAAAAAATGATAACACCGACTAACAGAAGAATAATACAACAAATAGCAACAAGAAAAAAAAGTATACATTAGAAAAAAAATATTGGAAATATACCAATAGAAAGTGCTATAAATTAATCATTATGATCAATGTTTCTTTACAAACTTAACATTCTGCGTCGGTTGTATTAATATTATAAATATATTGAGCAAATCTAATAAATGCAGTGAAAAGAGAGGTAGTAGTTCGAAATGAAACAGTTTCGTTGGAATAAACTTTTAAAGCTTATGCTTTAACTCAAACGATAAAATTAGTTGTAACCTATCCATTTATTTGATATGTTTTGAAAATAAACTTTTGCACCGGTTTTTGAGAATATAATATAAATTTGTAGAAGTCTGAGTCTCATGAGTACTACAATTCAGCTTCACAGTGGCTACAGTGATAGGTTTTTGTAACTAAAAAGGTACTCTGAAACAACCGAAGCGATTTTGAAAATTGAAGACAGAATTTTTGCGGTTTTTGAATCTTAAATCTAGATTTAGTTTGTCAGTGTTTACTATAAAAGTTGTGCAGTAATTTTCTTATGTGTCAATTTTTCATCATAACTGGTCAGAATTTTCTTCTACCACTTCATCTTGATAAATAGAGGATTTCAACACTAAATTGACAAATGAATAAGGCTTTAGCAACCTTTTCCATTAACTTAAACAAAATAACTTAAAAAGAATATAGAAATAATACCACTGCTATTCATAAATTTCTTTTTTTAGTTGTATTACGACCATGTTCATTATCAGTTCATGAAAAAAAATTTTATAACATTTATGCAAACGATCTACCAACACCACCTGATATTGTTCGAACATTTCAAGAATTTAAACACAATTTAATAAATCGGTTCTGTTTTGACAAAATTTTGCCATTCATAAATTTCAATCAATTCATTTTGGCTGGCGGTTCAGTTCTTATGTGTCTCTTACTAAATACTACACAATATATTGCATCTGATCTTGATTTTTTTTACATTGGAAAGGTTTCAAAAATTTTATTGATATATTAGTATAAAACACTAAATTGTAGGTTCATTCATCTCTTTATTTTTTTTTCTTAGGTTAACATATATGAGAACCTATCTAATTTTTATTTTATCAAACAAAGAGTTTTATCTTATCGACGTGTCTATGAACTAGAAATTAGTCTAGGTTCTAGTATATTTGAAATTATAAATCAACCAAATATTCGAAAAAAAATAGTATTACAATTTATTTATCATCCAAGTATAACATCTATTGATACATATCTAATAGCATTTGATATAGATGTAATTCAAATTTGTTTTGATGATAAAAACGTACTATGTACATGGGCATGTATCCGTGCACTAAATACAGGCACATTTATATGTTATAATCTTACGAATAATTTAACAACACTTGCTCGAACTGCAATCCGCATTAGTAAATATTATCAAAAAGGTTTCAAACTATTATATCCTTACGAATTTGCAATAAACGATTTCTTATCTTTAACTGTATATGAATTAAAACATACACAAAATCCTAATTATTATTCATCAACAAAAGAACAATTTGGAAGTAATCATGATTACTTTCGATTACAAAAAAATTTGTGGACATATATATCACTCAACGATTTTAAATTTCTTTTAAATTAAATTTTATCAAAAGCATACATCAAATCATAGTAACTTATAATATTTATAGTGATTAACAATTTTTGTACACATAATATCTTAACTTGACAAAAACAATCTTTGAATAGTAATAAATTTGAATATGAGGTCTTTTTCTGTTTCTCATAATATATTTCACACTTTTTTTCAACGAAAATTTTTACCACTTAATAATTACTACTTCGTTTAAATTTGTATTATTTATCTTTTAACACGATATATAGAATGTCATTCTTTCTGTTCTATGTACAAAAAAATAAAATATTCTTCATTTCACTATTAATTAAGAACATACCTATGCTTTAAAACAGATAAAATATTACTCACTACAATTCTTATTATACATATGATACATTAGTTATTATCAAGTATACAAAAGTTATCAACGTTAACTATTTATATTTGTCAAAGTAACCATTGCCATCAATTCTATTACTGTCTGCATTCATAACACGCAATATAAAATGCTACTAAATACAAGTCAATTAATTCGTTGTACACCCCTGGGCAAAAGTCTTCCCCCCCCCCCTTTTTTTTTAAAACTTTTAATATTTGCTTTCCTTTTATTATCGAACTAATGTATAACATAACTACGCCTACACACAATAGTCCCTCTTACTTCTCTTTGTTTCTATTTGTTGATTTGCATGACCCAATCTTATGTAATAATTGTTAATATGTAAAATACGGACTGATATTGGGAATAATTTTTATCATTATTCTTTCATAAGTTTTTAAAAATGCCACTTTCTCTATCACAACGCTATGAAATTGTGTTTCTCAAGCTACATCCATTGGCTCCTAAAATGTCAAACAAAGCGATCTCAAAGTACATTGGATGTGAACCAAAAGTCGTACGGTATTGGCTTGGCAGATCTCAAGAAAATGAAGATCTATCCAATTTACCAAAAACTGGCCGACCGCTCGCCACGTCGAACAAAATAGATTTAAAGATATTTAATATTGCTAAACGTGAGCAGAATATTACATCAAGTGATATTTCAAATGTTTTAAAAAAAGACGGCGTGAATATAGATCCAAGTACTGTTAGACGTCGATTACGTGAAAGCGGTGGAACTTATGGTCCACCTTTAAAAAAACCCTTACTCACAGACAAACATCGTGAGCAACGACTCATTTGGGCTCCACAACATCAACACTTCAATTGGCACAACGTGATTTTTACTGATGAGAAGACATTCAAGCTTAAAAAAAACGGAAGAAAAGTTTGGCGATTTCCAGTTGTTACTAAAATTGTTCGTACAGTTAAATATCCTCTCAAGTTGCACGTCTCGGGATGTTTTTCAAAACAAGATTTCGGAAAATTAATTACTTTCAGACATAATTTGACAGGCGATTTTATCTGCGACATATACGAGAACTGTCCTCTGCCTACTGCTTATCATCAATTTCCTAAAGGTCCAGATAGCTGGATCCTACAACAAGACAATGATCCTAAACAAAAGTCTTGGCAAGCGATTGACTGGAAGACCGACAATCAAATTCAAGTTCTGCCTTGGCCATCTGCATCACCCGATCAAAACCCTATTGAGAACTTTTGGTCGCTAATGAAGGATACAATAGGTAAAAAAAAACATTCAAACAATTCAGGAGTTGGAACAAGAAATAAGAAAGGCATAGAAACGCCTGCCAGTTGAGTTGGCTGTCAAATTGGTCGATAGTATGGACAGACGAGTACAGTGCTTAATTGAAGCAAATGGTGACTATACATCATATTAAAATAAAACATCTTCTTGTACTATATCTCACATTAAAATCACACATTTGATACACATTGGCTTAGATAAAAAAAAGAGAAAAAATATAAAAGGTTTAAAAAAAAAAATGGGGGGGGGGGCAAAGACTTTTGCCCAGGGGTGTAATACTATAATTTTATCCATTTTTTACAAAAATTGCTATTGATGATTATAAAAATTACTATACAACACAGATTATGTTTTTCTATCATTCCAAACATTATCCCATATAATCTATATCATTATATTTCTTTTGCAAAAAATTTCAATAACAAGTATTTAAATATTTACAAATAGTACATACTATTTTCATTGATTTACTTCTTAAAAGAGTGTAAAAATACTTACTATCACAAAACCAAATCAGCCAACTCTTTTTGAAAACTATCGATATTCACTAATACACTTTAACGATGATTATTTCCTTAAATGAAACGAAAATCAATCCGTTAATAAAAAATTTCATACTCATATAAAACTTTCGATTATTGAAATTTTGACAACTAACATAGTAAATTTCTATATTATTCGAATAATATTAATCGCACATCCCTACTCAGAAAACTCACGACTCAATTATATATAAACTTTAAAATTATATTTTACTTTTGAGCTTGATCCTTCACTTTTACATTTGCATTCAATCGAACAATCAAAGTTAAAGTAACATGAAAATGAACCCAAAAGTATGTCACAATCATTTCTCAACTTTTTTTTTAAATCACTTATTTTCAAAAATAGATAAAAAAAATATATAACATAAACACGTCATATAATACAAACGTTTCTCATAATCAGCTAAACTGCAAACTTTATCATACATAGAAATTTCTTTTTTTTTATGTTTTAAAGCAACAATCTCAATACATTTGTATTATATAATATGCAACAGTTTTCAAATATCGTTGATTTCTTTCAAAAATCTTACTATAAACAATGCATTCTTTTGTAAAAATATAACCATATCTTTTGCATCACTCCGTCAGTCTAGGGACCAGTGAATCAACATGCAATGTTGATGAACATTACTTGTGATCATGACCGTATTGAAAATTTTCGGAGCATAGCCAGATCTTTGAAAGTGTTTCCATAAATGCAGTTTTAGTCAATTACTGCTGTCTTTATTTGGAGCCTGCAGATTTTAAATTGGATTACGTCATCGTAATGGAATCTTATATTAGAAAGTGGGTGAGATTACGAATGCGTTGTGTGATGTTTTTTATCAGCGTGATTGTCTTCTGTTTAATTGTATATATGGCAACTAAAGATATTCGTAAAATTGGTAACGTCTATGGTGTTGTGTCAGGTGTGAAAATTCGGCGACCTAAAAGAAATGAATACTTTAAATGGTGTAATAATAATTACACAATCTTGCGAAATGTGTTTGGTATGCATTTGAGCGAAGAAGAAACGGAGCACAATAATTCTTGAACAGATGCAGCTCTAAAAGGCAATGATAGTCTGGAAACATTCGTACAATGCATTGGTCCACTGAACAATCAATCCTGTTTATATAATAATATATATTATCTGAACAAAACCTTCTGGATTTTGACCGTGAAGGGAAAGACGTTTCCGATTCTGACAGTGCGTGCAGATTATTATCCGCCTTTTGATCTCACACCTAACAAGCGCGAGTTTGACTCTTATGCGAAGCTCTCAAATTTCGTTCGCAGTGTGGCGAATCCTACAGTTATTCCAGATCTTACTGTTTATTTTCATCAAATATGGCATTTTAATATCGGTCATGCCTTGTTTGATGGGCTCTATCCGATATATGTGGCACTCATACGTTTTGCTCCTAGACACCTATATCCATTTCGACTGCTAACCGACATAACTGAAGGTGAAGATTGTTGGAGTGTTCATGTGTGTTGTCGGTTCGCCGGTCTCGGTCTAATCAAGCTGAAAGATCTAAATCGCCAGTCAATAAAAAACTGGTTTCTTTTCAAGAGTTTAATTATGGGTAGCGGAAATTTGTGTCAGCGATGCTTACAGAGTAATCTGCAACTGCCGGGTGGTGTCGAATTAAACGCCTCTAGACTTTTCCGAGATAGGATGTACAGAAAATTCGGTATAGAAATGTCGGTTACTCGAAGGAAACATTCAGCTGAACATCGAAACTCGTCAGCTCCACTGATTGCATATGTTATTGATAACAAACGTTTTACAGTTGATGAAAGGTACGAAATAGATGCTGCTATAAAGGAAATAAATACCAAAACCGACTTATATTCGATGAAAAATATTAACAACCTAACTAAATCGCATCGCCCGCTGATACGCGTCGCTTATCTAGATTATCAGAATGTGACTGCTGAAATAACCAATTCACTCGATGTGAATATGAAGTCGAGGTTACTTGCATCATCAAAAGGTGAACTAACTGCGAATAAGTTTATGGCTCAGTTGACACAATTACGCAAAATGGACATCCATATCACAGGGCCCGGTACTGGTCAGATGTATCAAACTTTTCTGTCAGATGGGTCTGTAAACATTAATTTGGGGGGCATTGAATCCTATACACATAGAGGAAAGACAGTGAATTACACATCTTTTTTAGAGCAGTATGTTACGGCCGGCACACCATATATTAGAGGTTTATACTATCCAATCAATAGAAGGCCGAACGGTATCAAAAGAAAGGACATCGTAACATTGATTGAGAAAGCAGCGCAGCTTATTATGGGTGGATTTCCTATACCAGTGAATCCAAAGGATAATCTGTCGCTGGATGGTCAACTATTTACACAAATGTGTGAACAGGACATGGACTTCTGTAAGATGGTGACAATGAGATCTTTAGACCAAAATGTTCTTTGCTATAACACATTTGTGGAATATATTGTGCACGAAGTGAATCAATGGAACGCCGAAGGTGTGGTAGTTAGTGGTAGAAATGTTACCTGCTCGCTAAATCGAACACTGCTAAAGGAATTAAGGCATAAATACGGTATTCACCACTAACTTTACATACCAGAAGACCATTTAATGCTTTTAGGTCAAAATTACTTACACTAAAAGGTGAGAACGATGTGGAGTTTATCGCGCAAGAGATTAAGAAGGCCAGTGTGATAAGTGAACTATTGGCGTGGGTAGAGCTGTGATGGTTCTCTACATCAACTAATATACTCAAGCCCGCATTACTCAAAACCGCATCCCCACCTTGCATCTACACGATGAACCGCAGATAGAAATATATCCACAGTGCACACCCACATCTCACACCCACACTCTATATCCACACTCTAAACGACTATGATACAGTCCCCACCAAATGGGTAAAATTCGGCTGTTTTGCTGTTGTGTATAGCTTTAACGACTGTTTGCATTATTGTCAATGACTGCCAAATTCGTCGATCGAGGAAGAAATCAATTATTGAGAATCTTGAAACTTCAAACCAACTTCCCTAGCGGTCTTACTCCAACTTTTCAATCATTATATTCACCTATAGATTGCGTTGTAGTGGTTGAAATAAGGAAAATGTTACAATTAACGTTCATCGACATCGAAAGTCGATTCACTAGGTTCTAGGCTGACGGAAAATTGACAGTCAAGTGGATTTACTCTTCTGGTCATTTCTACCATGGAAAGGCTCTTTTTTGCCATAAAAATGTTCGTTGGTGCCAAACGCTTGTTACAGACAGAAAAACCGACAAACAGACACAGGTGAATTATGGGTTCTAGACCTTAGCCTACAAGTCTGGGGAAAAAACTTTATTATCATTGGAAGCATTTTAACTATTTAAAGGAACTTGAACTCCTCTTCAAAGTGGTCCATAAGTTTTATTTTAAACACGCACTTTAGAAAGACTTATAATATTTTTTGTTCGAACATGGGAATTCTTCACATTCGAGCGGATACTTCTTAATTATGTGCAGTACTGATTATTCCTTCTACTTAAAACTTATTGCATAGTATAGTAAAAAGTCTTACTCTCACTGTTGCTGTCGAATATGCAATAAACTATTTGCATGCACGTGGCATAAAAAAAAGAAAGATAAATGCTACATTTTCAGATACTACTTAATAATTGATTATAATTCCTGATACGATGCGTATTCAAAAATTAACGAGGCTATCCGCTTATTTAGCATGTTTAATATGTTTTTTATATCTGATGGTTTACTATTCGGAATATCATTTTCATCCTATTAATGATGTACCGAATAGTAATACTTCAATCGAAAATGCTGTTCAGCAAATGCTAACATGCGATTCAGGAGATACTTCTCGTCATCGAGCCCTGCTGTCAATTCTACACGCATGGAGTCACTTTGCTCACACATATAATATTCAATATTGGATAGCCTATGGAACTCTCGTTGGTTTTGTACAACGCCAGGGATTATTACCACACGATCTTGATACTGATGTATTAATATTATCACAAGACACAAAACATCTAGTTCCATTTTCTAATGCTCATTTTTCACCTATCTATGAAATTATAGTTCACCCACAATGGTCTTTTTTTGGACATGAAAATCGGTCATTTTATTTATCAAAAGGTATCGATTTTCGAACACCTAATGCTCGCTTTGTACATCGAAAGCTTCGCTATCATCTTGATATTTTTCCTGCGTATGAGCATTATTCTGATCAATCACAAAACGGGACTGATACGAACACGAGTATGGTGCACATGATATACAATATATCTGATACCTTAATAGCTGTACCTGTCGAGTGGACGTTTCCATTGAAAGCATGTGTTTTTAGTGGTATCAATGTTTGGTGTCCAGCGAAGCCCTCGAAATTAGTAACTGCATTGTATGGAGCAGGAGCTGTTAATAAAACGAATGCGATATGTGTCAACAGTACTTGGGTGAAAGGGCCAATGTCGTAACTATACTTCTCTGCTAACGCCTCAGGGGCTGAAAATAGAAATCTGTAAGTGCCTGTTATCAACAAACAAAGAAGATGTTACATGAGAAGTCTCTAGTTGTGATTAAATACTGCACTAGCATAACTGACCATCAGCGAAATTATTCACTCTGCAATAAATATGGAGTTTGTGAAAATTAAAACATCGTTTAATTCATGATTGTAATAGTGACTTTAAAAGGTTTTTTTTGAAATCTCACGATTTGCACCAAAAACCTTCTAGATCTTCAAGAACTAGGTTTCCCTTTATCCGAATCAGAATTTCCGCGAGAGTATACATGTGTTATGGGTGCGGGTGTGAGTGTGGCTGTGGCTGTGGCTGCGGCTGTTAGTGTGGCTTGCTGGTGTGAGGTGTGGGTGTGGATGTAGTTGTGGATGTGGGTTTGAGCTGTGGGTGTGGTTGTGGGTGTGTGACTGTGTGGCTGTGGATGTGGAGTGTGCGTGGATATGGGTGAGCGTGGGTATGGCTGTGGGTAGATGTGGGTGTAGGGTGGGTGTGGGTGTCGGTGGGTGTGTGAGTGTGGGTGGGTGTGGATGTGGGTGTGGCTGTGGCTGTGGCCGTGGGTGTGGGATGTGGGTGTTGATGTGGGTTGTGGGTGTTGGTGCGGCTTGTGTATGGGGGTGTGGGGTATGGGGTTAGGGTGTGGGTGTGGTGGGGGGTGG